GAGGGATACAGGTGGAGTGTGAGCTCCCTGAGTTGATTGAGGTGGAGTGTGAGCTCCCTGAGGGATGCTGTGGAGAGTGAACTCCCTAAGGTGATGCAGTAGGGAGTGTGAGCTCCCTGACTCTATAGCCTAGTAGGCAGCCACCAGTGTCCTCTGTGGAACTGGGGGTGAAGGAGGGAGGCACTAAGACAAAGAGGCTAAGAAACATTTCCGAAGGTTTTAACGTGGGAGCAAGTCCAAGCAGCCTACAGCAGCAAGCCAGTCCGGGCCATACCCACGGAGCAGCGTGAGTGTGTGGAACAGGGCCTGGGTGCTGCCCTCCTCCCTGGGCAGGCACAGCCCCACAGCCTCTGTGGCAGCAGTAACGGCAGGTACTGACCTCCACCATGGCTTGCTGCATGTCACCACAGCCCTCCCTGCTTTGCAGCTGGAGGGGCTGAGTTTCTAGCTCTTCGCCATCATGCTCTGCCCCAACCCAGGCTATGTCCAGTGGAGTCTCTGTGATAGAGAGCAATCAGAACCCCTCGGGGTCATGCAGGCAGCAAAACATCCTGGGGTCATAGTCACATCTCACTCTGCTCACCGGGATCTGCTGTGGTGTCATCAGAAACAAGGCCAGAGCTGGAACAAGGGCTCGCACCTGTGGGTCTTCAAGGCCCCTGGAGAAGCGTGAGGCATTTGGCCTCCAAGGAACAACTATCTGAAGGACAACCAGGGCCAGGGCCGCTCCAACCAGAATGGGGCCTCCGGGGCCTCCCATGTGGATCAAGAGAAGGCTGCTCACACCCCGGGGGCAGGCAGACATTATTTTAATAATGAAACAGAGCACACAGACAGGGATCTTTCTTTTTGTAGTTACCACTGCAAGGATAATGTAAGTACACCAAAGAAAAAAATGTTGGCCAGGCACGGTGGCTCATGCCTGTAATCCCAGCACTTTGGGAGGCTGAGGTGGGTGAATCACCTGAGATCAGGAGTTCGAGACCAGCCTGACCAACATGGTGAAACACCATGTCTACTGAAAATACAAAAATTAACCAGGCTTGATGGCGTGTGCCTGTAATCCCAGCTACTGGGGAGGCTGAGGCAGGAGAATCACTTGAACCCGGGAGGTGGAGGTTGCGGTGAGCTGAGCTGAGATTGCACCACTGCATCCAGCCTGGGCCACAGAACCAGACTTTGTCTCAAAAAAAAAGAAAAAAGTGTTTGAAGGAGCAAAGGTGATCCACAATCCTCCCCTGTCCCTCAGCTGTTTCATTTCTGTTTGTTATTACACTATGTGTTTATTTCACTTGCTTTGGGATATTAAGATGTGGCCTTGGGTGGACATCTCAGGATGTCATCATGCCTGTAGCAAGGCGCTGGCCCCAGGGTGCTCACCCGTGTGAATCTGCCCAGGGGGCATTTTGTTGTCACAACTGGAGGAAGGGAGTGTTCCTGGCACCCAGAAGGTGGAGGCCAGGGATGCTGCTCAGCACCCTGCAGTGCACAGGACGGCCCCCACAGAGCAGATGGAGCCAAGGCATCAGCAGTGCCACCAAAGGTGACAAGCCCCTCCCTGGGGGACTCCAGTGCCGGCTTGCAGTCAGGGCTGGGCTGATTCTACCCTGGCCGTGGACCAGCTCCTTTTTCTCCTGCCTCTGCTTTCTTTTTTTTTTTTTTCTTTTGAGACGGGGTCTCGCTATGTTGCCCAGGCTGGAGTGCAGTGGCTATTCACAGGTGCGATCCCACTACTGATCAGCATGGGAGTTTTGACCTGCTCCGTTTCCGATGTGGGCCCGTTCACCCCTCCTTAGGCAACCTGGTGGTCCCCCGCTCCCGGGAGGTCACCATATTGAGGCTGAACTTAGTTCGGACACCCGATCAGCACAGCGCACTGCAGCCCAGAACTCCTGGGCTCGAGCGATCCTCCCACCTCAGCCTCCCAAGTAGCTGGGACTACAGGCACGTGCCACCGCGCCCGGCACCTCTGCTTTCTTATAGCAGGGGCAATAACAGCCTCCTCCCAGGTCCTCATGAGGGTGAGGCAGAATGATATATGAGGCTGGGCCTGGAATCCCAGCACTTTGGGAGGCCAGGGCGGGAGGATCTCTTGAACCCAGGAGTTTGAGACCAGCCTGGGCAACATTGTGAAGCCCCATCTCTACTAAAAATACAAAAATTAGCTGGATGTGGTGGCGCATGCCTGTAGTCCCAGCTACTCGGAGGCTGAGGCAGGAGAATCGCTTGAACCCCTGGGTCTCCCAATTTGTAGAGAAGGGGAGGCCCAGGGAGGTTTTGAGAATTGGCCAGCACCCTTGGTATATGACAGAGCAGAGATTCGAACCCAGGTCTCTTGCCTGCCTGCCCGCCCCCTAGTGGTCTAAGGCAAGAGGCCTCTGAGGAGCCTCCTTGCAGAGAGGTAGAGGACATAATTTTTTTTTTTTTTTTGAGACAGAGTTGCTCTGTTGCCCAGGCTGGAGTGCGGCAGCGCGATCTCGGCTCACGGCAACCACTGCCTCCCAGGTTCGGATTATAGGCGTGCACCACCACGCCCAGCTAATATTTGCATTATTAGTAGAGATGGGGTTTCTCTATGTTGGCCAGGCTGGTCTCAAACTCCTGACCTCAGGTGATCCACCCACCTTGGCCTCCCAAAGTGTTGGGATTACAAGCGTGAGCCACCATGCTCAGCCAAATAAGTTTTTTTTAATTAAAATTAAGAAAAATATATGAATATGTGAGGAGTGCTTAGCCCAGCATTCCAACTATTCCTTCAGAGTTCACTTTGTTTTCTTTTTTTCTCTCTGAGACGAAGTTTCGCTCTTGCTGCCCAGGCTGCAGTGCAATGGCGCAATCTCAGCTCACCGCAACCTCTGCCTCTCAGGCTCAAGCGATTCTCCTGCCTCGGCCTCCTGAGTAGCTGGGATTACAGGCATCCGCCACAATGCCCGGCTAACTTTTTGTATTTTTAGCAGAGACGGGGTTTCTCCATGTTGGTCAGGCTGGTCTTGAGCTCCCGACCTCACGTGGTCCGCCCGCCTTGGCCTCCCAAAGTGCTGGGGTTACAGGCGTGAGCCACCACGCCCGGCCAGAATTCACCTTGTTTTCATTTGGTAAGTCTGGGATTTGATTGCAGTTACTGGGTCCCCAAGTCTCCCTGGCCCTCACTTTTCCTGAAGAGAACACAGAATGTAACCTGCTGGACAGCCAGAGGCACTGTCCCCCCGGGCTCATCTCAGGTGTTCTTGTTTTCCTTCCAGCCCCGTCCCAGGTCCAGGTTCTAAGACACACTGTCTCCAGGGTGTCCTCAGCCCACGTGGACATCTCCCTGAGTCCGTGGTCCAGAGGGCCTCACCTTCTCAGTCCCGGTCTCTTAACAACCCAGGGTGCAGTGTTGTCTTCCAGTGCAGTGGGAGCAGTGGACATCCCAGGGGAACCCACAGACTGCATCGTGTCTCAGAAGTCATCAGCTCAGCTCCTCCCATGACTCCTGTGTGTCCACAGGTCTCTAACTGGTTCGGCAACAAAAGAATCCAGTATAAAAAGAACATGGGGAAGCTTCAGGAAGAGGCTATCATTTACACGGGAAAAACGGCTGTAGATACCAACGAAGTTGGGGTCCCAGGGAACCACACCAGCTGCCTGTCAACACCCAGCTCCGGTGAGTGAGGCTGACCCAGGGACAGTCGTCTGTGCTTGCGTGGACAGCCACTGAGCTGCACTGGGGAGGTTTCGGTGGGACTGTACCGCCCTTCCCCCAGTGGTCAACTCTGTGTAACTCTTTCCTCTGTTTCTTTTCTTTTTTTTTTCTGAGATGGAGTTTTGCTCTTGGTGCCCAGGCTGGAGTACAATAGTGCAATCTCAGCTCACCACAACCTCCGCCTCCCAGGTTCAAGCGATTCTCCTGCCTCAGCCTCCCGAGTAGCTGGGACTGCAGGTGCCCACCACCACACCTGCAGTGCCCACACCACCACAATGGCGATAATTTTTGTATTTTTAGTAGAGACGGGGTTTCACTATGTTGGCCAGGCTGGTTTTGAACTCCTGACCTCGTGATCTGCCCGCCTCGGCCTTCCAAAGGGTTGGGATTACAGGTGTGAGCCACCGCGCCCACCAGCTCTTTCCTGTTTCAACTGTGAAAGTTCTGTTCCTCTTGGCCATGATCCCACCCAACAGATACCCGCAGGTGGTACCTGTGCTTCGGAGGCATAATGGCGATACCGGTAAGAAAAGGCATGAAAGGGCCGGGCGCGGTGGCTCATGAGTGGATCACTGGAGGTCAGGAGTTTGGGACCAGCCTGGCCAACATGATGAAACCCCGTCTCTACTGAAAATACAAAAAACATTACCCAGGCATGGTGGCAGGTACTTGTAGTCCCAACTACTTGGGAGGCTGAGGCAGGAGAGTCACTTGAACCCAGGAGACAGAGGTGGCAGTGAGCAGAGATTACACCACTGCACTCCAGCCTGGGCGACAGAGCGAGACGCTATCTCAAAAAAAAAAAGGCAAGACGTGAAAGGACATTAGTGGTGTGGTAAGGAGGGCCCCGCTGGCCTCCCTGGGGTGCGGGGCTGAGACGCAGAGGCCAGATGCTGAGGAGGAGCGGGGAGCCACATTCACAGCCTCCTGCGGGCCGAGGGGCTGGGCAAGTCCCACCCGCGGAAGCGCCGTGAGTCTGCCCACCCCGGCTCCCACCTCTTCCAGGCTCGTCTGGACCCTTCCCACTGCCCAGCGCTGGAGACGCTTTCCTCACCCTGCGGACACTGGCCTCTCTCCAGCCTCCTGCTGGCGGATGCTGCCTGCAGTCCCAGGTGAGTCTGGGCACCGTCCCGCAGCACCCAGGTGGGTGGCAGGTCCTCAGAAAAGGACCATCTTGTCAGCCACCCCTCAGCAGCCACACGTGTGTCCCAGCACCCACACAGGCCATGCTGCGCGCCCACCTCCACCTGTCACCACGACAGCTGCTGGGAACAGTGGGCTGTGGAGGCGAAGGGCACCTCCTGGGGAAGTGTGGGAGGAAATGCGTCCTTCCCTCGAGAGGGAGGGGCAGGCAGTGAGCAGAGGCCAGAGGAGAGACAGGGGCTTTCCCTTGGGTTCAAACCTGGCGCCCTCAGTGTCACCTCTTGGCCAGGAAGGCGGGTCTTGCGCCCGCACCTCCTCTCCTGCTGCTCTGATGTGGAGGTGAGGGCGCCCTGGTTGGCCACAGCGAGGATTCATTTTGGCGCCTGAGAAGGAAAGGAGCCAGGGGTCTGGGGCAGCTGACACCCACCCTCACCCCCAGCCCAGGCCCTGCGGGCTCCCCCCTCCCTTGGTGGTCACAGGGGAGGCTGTGAGTGGGGACCGTCCTGAAGACACTGCGGAGGCCCGGATGTGACGTGCCCAGCACAGGCGCGAGGCTGTGCAGTGTGTGCCAGGACCCTGCAGAGCCAGGTGCCCACTCCTGACTCACCACTCCCTCCCAGGGGCTCAGAGAACGGATGCCCCCTGTGCCATCTATGGGGTCCCACCTGGTCCTGGGAAGTGCATATCCCACGCTGCCCTGCTGTGGCAGCTACCCCCATCACCATGCAGCCCCCCCAGCCAGGGATACAGGTGAGGGACCTCACCTTGCCCTTCGCACCCCTGGGACCTGACTATGTGCCAGCAGCTCTGCGTCCACCCCAGGGCAGAGTGCCCCCAGGCTGCGCACCCGTCTGAGCTGCTCACACGCTTACGGGCAGAGCAGTCCCAGCCACTTCCTTAGCCTGTATCGTGCCCACCATATGAGGGTGGGTCCTGTGGACAAATGTCCTAGAGCCCTTGGGCCTGACACCATCTCTGTGCCAGACAGAGCCCCCATCCCTCAAGACAAGCGGATGCCTCCTGCCCTCCTTGCCGCGCAGCCGGGCCAGTGTTGGGCTAGGTTCCAGAGCCCTTTCCTCCCACCGAGTCTCGATGATGCACTGGCCGTTGCCATGGGCTCCAGGCCTGACCTTGCCTCCCTGCCCCTCGCTGGGTAGGAGCCCCTGCTGCACCCAGTGCTGGTTAGTCCTTTGCCGAAGCCTCAGGGAAGCCGCTAGAGGCCAGTTTTCCTGCGGGGGAAGCTGGTCCATGTCCCATTTCAGGTGGCAAGCCCATCTGTGATCCAGGGCTGGCTCCTCCGTCCCCTCCCCTCCTCACGTGACTTGAAGGTCATCTTGAGGACCTGTTCCAAACCTTCCCAGGGACCCCTGGAGCCTCCGCTTGCGGCACATGGGCTGGAAAGTCGCCAGTCTCATGGCTGTCCCCTCTGATGCTCGGTCTCTGTCGTTTCAGGCCCAGGGTAGCTGGCAGGGGGCCACCCCCCTACCTGCAACTGCGCCACCTGCTGGAGACCCTGGCGGCATCAACTCCAACGCGGCTAATTAAGTTTTGGGGATAAGCAGGAAAGAGCGCCGCCGCCTGAGCTGCTGCGCGTGGCCGGCCCTCGCGCGGTTAGTCCACGTGCCGCTAATGACCTCAGAAAACGCAGATGAGTGCCTGCTCCTCAGCTGGCCCGTGGCGCCGGCACTTGTGTCTGCTGGGACTCGAGATGGCCTGAAACGCCACTCATTCTCCCACCTCAGTTCGTTTTTTTGATAGTAATTTTATGGTAATGGTATGAATTGTCTGTTCTAGGACTTGGCACAGATTTTCCCATTAAAATTTTTGACTTATTTTCATTCCGATGTCTGTTCACCAGATTTGTTTTGGGTGGTAATTGACACCGGTCACAGCTGTGGTGTCATGTGTGCTGTGATTCTGCCACTCATCTGCACTACTCAGGCACCAACTCCTGACACTATCTTCTGTGGGATCATCTCATTCTGTTCTGGTTTTAAAATGTCCTGGCCGGGCATAGTGGCTCACGCCTGTAATCTCAGCACTTTGGGAGGCTGAGGCGGGAGGACTGCTTGAGCCCAGGCATTCAAGACCAGTTTGGGAAACATAGTGAGACCTTGTCTCTACAAAAAAAACTCTGCTCTCAGAATTTTTTTTTTTTTTTTTTTGAGTCAGAAGTCAAAGTCTTGCTCTGTTACTCAGGCTGGAGTACAGTGGCACGATCTCGGCTCACTGCAACCTCCATCTCCCGAGTTCAAGCGATTCTCCTGCCTCAGTCTCCTCCCGAGTAGTGGAGACTACAGGCGCCGGCCACCATGCCCAGCTAATTTTCTATTTTTAGTAGAGATGGGGTTTCACTGTGTTAGCCAGAATGGTCTCCATCTCCTGACCTCGTGATCCGCCCGCCTTGGCCTCTTAAAGTGCTGGGATTACAAGCGTGAGCCACCATGCCCAGCCACAGAATTTT